TGAAAAACTGAAGAAAATGATATGTCTGTTTGGAATTAACTGGATACTATAATAATGTTGCAGGAGATTTACAGAAAGATTTACAGCCTCAGAAACCCAAAGAGGCAATTCTACTCTGTCCTTTAAAAGGGTCGCTGTGGGTCGCTATGAATCAGAATTGACTCAGTGGCAGTGTGTTTGGTTATGATTTACAATCATATTACTTTATGCCAAAAACCTTTATTTTTTTTAATTACAGGCAGTACTTATGTTACAAAAGAGCTCCAGTCCTAACTGTCCCCTTAATTTTGAAGTAGAATTTGTCATAACTGAGACATAGAAAAGTCATAACTGATACAATAAATATCACTTGCAAGTGATTATGCCTAAGATAATTTTTAAGTGTTGTAGCAGAATATCTACATGGACCAATTAGATATTCAAACTGGATTCAGAAGAGGTCTTGGCATGTGGGATATCATTGCAGATATGTCTTGACTGAATGAAAACATCAAAGGATTGTTTATTTGGGCTTTATTAACTCTGCAAAGACATTTGACTTTTTTTAATAAGTTAATAAAAGTCATTTTATTAAGTCATTTGACTGTTTGGAGTCCAAACAGGTGCCTCTGGTTCTAACTCACTCGGAGAGGTATCACTCCCTCCCAAATAAGTGCACTCTACCTCCATGTTCCCACCTGTGTTAGTCTGGGTACATTAGAGAAACAATCCACAGAAGCTCATATGTATAAGAGAGACCTTTATATAAAGGGTAAGTGCACATCAAGAAAACATCCCAACCTAGTGCTGCCCAATCCCAGAAGTACAACATTAACCCATTAATCCGACACCAATCCAGAAAGTCCTCCTCCCTCTCACAAAACACACACAATGACGCCAACTGCAGGAGGAAAGCCAAATCAGTGAACGTGTAAGTATCTCAGCATTGGCAGGGGTCTCCACACGGCTGCTCCAGCACCCAGGGCAGCATCAGGGTAGGTCCACGCGTCTTCTCCTCAAGGATGTCTTGAGGGAAGTGAGCCTTGCCAGCTGAAGCAGGAACTGGCTAAAGCAGCTGCACCCGGGTCCGACCATCACACAGCAAGAGACCTGAGAACTAGAAAGGTGAGGCTCATGGAGCCATTTATCTCTCTGTCCTTCAATTAACCCCACGTGTTTATCGGCCAGGTTGGCACAATAAACATTAACTATCTCACCACCCCTGCCAATCGAAAGTAATCATTTGTTTGCTGGTTTGTGTCATTTTCTGTTTTCAGTATATGCATTACCCCCTCCTTTTTGACACAGTCAGGTGGTGTCCTGTATAAAATTGGCTTTCTTCACTTAACAGTACATCCCATACATTATCCCATGTTGATTCTTTAGGGTCATTGTCATACTTTTTGTAAAATATCATTACATTTATGTGTCATCGTTCATTCTGTCAATTGCCTGTGTTTGGGTTTTGATCATTTTAAACCTTTTACAAATATAAACAATACTATATTGAATACACTTATACCCTGTGAAATTGAGTATTGTTGGAGGATTGCCTTCAGGGCAAAGTTCTACAAGGAAGGAAAAAGCACTTATCATATGTACTCAAGTATAAGCCGACCCAAATATCAACTGAAGCACCTAATTTGACCACAAAAACTGCATTAAAAATGTGCTAAAAACTCAGCTTACCTACGAGTATATACAGTATGTTGTTTGGTTAGATATTGTCCTCTGGAAGGGTTGTATCATGCCCTGTTCTTACCAGCAACGTCCAAAGCCAAACCAAACTCACTGCCATCTAGTCATTGCTATTTCATAGTGACCCTACAGTACTTTCTAGAACTGGCCCTGGCGCTGACAATCCTTACAGGAGGAAAGCCTCATTTTGATCCTGTGGAGCAGCTGGTGGATTTGAACTATTTACCTTGCGATTAGCAGACCAACGTGAAATTCACTACGCCACCAGGGCTCCAGACCAGATATATACACGAGTACATATTTCACTATAGCCTAGCCAACAGAGAGCAGCGTCACACTTTGCAATTTTTACCAGTCTGCTAGGTGAGACGTAGTATCTTGGTATAGTTTTAATTTATATCCCCCTTACTTTAAAGAAAATGCAATACATTTTTTTATAAGTTTGAAGATCATCAACCATCTTTCTTAGTAAAGTAGTTTGTCATGCCTTTCGCCAATTTTTGTGTAGGATTTTTGGTCCTCGTTTTTTTTTTTAGTTGCTTATGCATTCGAGATGTTAGCACTGCATATATAGTATATCTTGTAAATATTTTATTTCTGTGCTTTGATTTTTCTTCTATTGTTTCTTGACCATCTAAAACCTTCTGAATCAGATTGACCACAGTTGAGTGCTGTAGTTATCAGATTTGAAAATATAAGGTAAAAATACAGTAATGAAAATATTTGTGTCTATAAATTTAGTGGATATAAAAGTGGCATGTCACATCAACATAGAAAAGGTGGTGATTCAGGAAGTGTGCTAGATACACATTTTATACAGTAAACTGTATTAAAACATTGTAAGTTAAAGCCCTCTCTTAGAATAGGCACTAAAGAAATTTCGGTTAAATATTTAATAAATGAAGCCATCAAAGGACTCAGAAGAAATACTGGTAATTATATCAGGGTTGCTCTACTCTGGCACTATTGAGAGTGAACTGGGTAATTCTTTGCTTTAGAGAACTGTCCTGTGTGCTGTAGGACATTGAGCACCTCCCCAGCCTCTACTACTAGATGTAAAAAGTGTCCCCCATTCACAACAAGCAAAAGGGCTTCAGGCATTGCCTCATGTCCCCTGGTAACCAAAATCACTCCTGGTTCAAAAACACCGGTCAGTATCGTCTCAATTAAAAATGGCAGAAGACCCAAGAATGAAATCACAGAGGGAAAATTTGAAAACATTGACTACCTCAGAGGAAAGAAAAACTTTGGTGGTTAAAGGAGCTGTACATTTTAAATACAGAAATAGAACTAGAAAATCGAAATCCAAGCAGCCAGTGAAAAGACATGATGTAAATGACATCCAGATTATCCAAACAGTAATTACTAATATGACCAGCCCAGGAGGAAATAGGCAGGGGACACAAGTAGACAATTCATAGAAGAAGATATCTAAACAGTCAGATACATTTTTATTGTAAATCCAACTATCCACTGATACTTTAATCAAAGATATTCAAGAGGAAACATAAATTCAGGATGAAGACTTTACCTCTCGCTGACAAACATGAAGTAAACTTACCTACTTTCACAACGTTCCGATGGCAACATAGCTATGTGTAAATTAATGAAGCCTAATGGGAAGCAAATGCATTAGCCTGTGAAGTCACTTTTGCCCATGCATTTCTGCTTCTGGGATTTTATCCTAAGAAAATAATGGAACATTTTTCTTTGGGCGTTCCTTTAGAATTGGTAATCCTTTGGACACCTCTATACTTAATACAGAACTGGTCAAAGAGAGTATTGGCACCTCACCCCCGTGTAATGGATTTTATCAGGTCAGCATCAGAATTTGTGTGAATGGAGTAGACAGAATTTGTGATGATGGTTTACTTCTCATTAGACACCTATGTAACAAAATGGTGTGTGTGTGTGTGTGTGTGTGTGTGTTCCAAGATGTGATAAACCGATACATTGTGCTTTATTTTTGCTTGGTTTAGTTTTGGTATTCTATTTAAATAAAACAGTTGGAGAAATCATGCGAGGATGGTATAGAATTTCAAGTTTTCAGCTCTTTCTAATATTAATATTTCTAATATCAGTTATCTAATATTCAATAAACATGAACTATTCATACAACTAAAAGAACAGGGAAGAAGTAATTTTGCTTTTAAATCCTTTGTTTCAATCCTTTTGTTTTATTATTATTAATCATTTTACTGGGGGCTCATACAACTCTTATCACAATCCACACATCCATCCATTGTGTCTAGCACATTTGTATATTTGTTGCCATCATCATTTTCAAAACATGTTCTCTCTACTTGAGCCCTTGGTATCAGCTCCTCATTTTCCCCCTCCCTCCCCCACCTTCCCTCGTGAGCCCTTGATAATTTACAAATTACTTTTATTTTTTCAGTCTTACACTGGCCGATGTCTCCCTTCACCCACTTTTCTGTTGTCCATCCCTCTGGGAGGGGGTTACATGTAGATCATTGTGAAGGGCGTTTCTATAGTAGTGTTCATGAAAGGATTATTTAAATCAGGAGGGGGAAAAAAGATAGTTTTCATCTCTCAAAGTCAAGTAGACTGCTCCACACGTATCATAATATAGACTGGAAGGGAATTTCCCAAACCATTAGCCCTGGCCCTCTCTGACTTGTGGGTAGCAGTGGTTCAGTGGTAAACACTTTTTGTCCCCCCATTCCGGAGACCAGGCTCATTTCCCAGTCAAGGCACCTCATACACAGCCACTGTTCTCTGCTTGTATGTTATGCTGACGCTGAACAGGTTTCAGCAGAGATTCCAGACTGAGCCAAACCCAGGACAGAGGCCTAGTTATCCACTTGTGAAAGTCAGCAGGGAAACGCCTGTGGGCACAATGGTTCCGTCCACATCTGAAGGGGAAGAAGATCCAGCCCAGGCCGCATTTTGTCCCATTGTGTGTGGGCTCGGGCTTGCCTTGGGTTGGTAGCAACTCAACAGCAGTTAGCAATCGCAAGAAGGAGTGTCTCTGGATCAGAGTCATTAGTGCTGGTGGGATTGCTCTGGGTTTGGGGTTTTTTTTGTTTTTCCTCTGTGTCTCCTAATGTTTTATCAATGAATATAGATTGCTTTAATCTCCAGAGGGTGGAAAATACATGATATTAAGAATCCAAACTAATGTCTGAGACAGAAATCACCTATTATTAGCCCTGTGGATCCTATAAAAGAAATAGAGTGTAAATGTGGCATTAAAAGAGAACACAGTATGTTCCCCTGTGCATGTTAACAGCAAGCGCTTTTTATTTCTATTGCTAAAAAATGGGAGGAAATTAACTTAAAGCTGATGTATTCCCCTGCAGGTTGCTTCAGGAGAATGTAATGAAGACACTGAAGTTTACAACATCACCCTCTGTACTGGGGACGAACTCACCCTCATGGGCCAGGCGGAAATCCTTTATGCCAAGACTTTCAAGGAAAAGTCTCGACTCAACACGATCTTTAAAAAGATCGGGAAGCTCAACTCCATCAGCAAGCTGGGTAAAGGCAAAATGCCGTGCCTCATTTGCATGAACCACCGGACCAACGAGAGCATTAGCCTCCCATTCCAGTGCAAGGGCCGGTTTAGCACTCGGAGTCCCCTGGAGCTTCAGATGCAAGAGGGTGAGCACACCATCCGCAACATTGTGGAGAAAACCAGGCTCCCTGTGAACGTGACCGTGCCGAGCCCCCCACCGAGAAACCCGTACGACCTCCACTTCATCCGCGAGGGCCACCGCTACAAGTTCGTGAACATCCAGACCAAGACCGTGGTGGTTTGCTGTGTGCTGCGGAGCAACAAGATCCTCCCCATGCACTTCCCTTTGCACTTGACTGTTCCCAAGTTTAGCCTCCCAGAACACCTGGTGAAGGGCGAGGTATGGTCTGAAACCTTGGTCCATCATTGGCTGGGCATCTGCCAAGAACAGTTTGACATTGATGAGTATTCACGGGCTGTCCGTGACGTGAAGACGGACTGGAACGAGGACTGCAAGAGCCCCAAGAAGGGCCGGTGCTCTGGCCACAACCATGTGCCCAATTCCCTCAGCTATGCCCGGGACGAGCTCACCCAGTCCTTCCACCGGCTCTCAGTCTGTGTGTATGGCAACAATCTCCATGGCAACAGTGAGGTGAACCTCCACGGCTGCAGAGACTTGGGGGGAGAGTGGGCCCCTTTCCCTAATGACATCCTGCCCTACCAGGACCATGGGGACAGTGGGAGCGACTACCTTTTCCCAGAACCTAGTGAAGAATCCGCAGGTGTCCTCGGCAAGCCAGAACTTCCTTATGAGGAGCTGTGGCTGGATGAAGGCAAGACCAGCCACGCGCCTCTCACACGGTCCCTGAGCGAGAAGGGCAGATGTGACCATTTCAGAAGTTCTGTCCGGTCCAAATGTGGGACTTCTCCTCTTCCCGCCCCTGGGGCTCTGGGAGCACCAATGAAGTCTTCAGATGTCACCCTACCTCCGCCTCCAGTGCCTCCCAAATCTGAAGCCGTAAGTGATTTCTGGTTGTGAGTGGTGAGCATGCTTTTTCCATCTGTCTGCTCAGTCATTCACCATTCCCTTAGAGACGGGGAACCCCTCCAACTGAAGAGTGTTCGAGCCAGAAAAATGTTCAAAGTTGTAGTGAAATAGACTCGCTAGATTATATTTTTACTAGTTAGGACTTTTATTCTACACATGATAAGAAGCATTTTTGAAGGGTTTTCATTTTGTTTTGTTTTTTTAGCAAGAGAGACTTACACAGGACTTCTGTTGTTGTCTAGAGAATGAATCCTAGGGAGAGGAAGGTAGGGACCCAATGGGAGCCTATTGCAGCAAGGTCAGTTATGAGAGAATGGTGCTTTGGACCACTGGTAGTGATTGGTAGTGGTAGGGAGCAAGAAGAAATGAGCTGACTCAAAATGTTTAGCAGTAGACCCAGCTGCAGCTACTGGTGCATTCTATGTGGGAAGAACAGAAACAGAGAAATCCAGACCAAGCACTAGAATTTTAGCCCCAGCAACATGAATGCCCTTTAGACTAGTGGGGAAGAGCGAAGTGGGAGCGGGGGTATCAGGGCAAATGGCAAATGGGCCTCAAGAGGCATCAGCGCCACCTGGGACCCTCTCTCTAGTCCTGAGGTTCCATTGAGATCAAGGAATAATGGGCATGTCTACATGTATACGCACATAACCTGCAGGTGTCCTTAAACATCAAACTCATTCAGTAGGCATGAAGACTTCATCAAATCGCAGTGTAAAAATACAAGAGAGCGCAGGGACCCTCTGTTCTGACCATGTTCTCTGATTGGCAGCCATTCAAAACCTTTGCTTACGCATGTTTGGTCATTGGATTTCATGGTATCTAGGGGAGAAAGTACTGAGGCCCTGGGTGTAATTCTGTTCCTTTCTTTGACAATATCTACTGTGGTACTTGCCTTTTTTCTTTCCCCAGCAGAAACCTTTAAGAAATATGCAGACATTTACATGAATCCCAATATGTAGAAGAGTTAAAATCAAAACCAATTCTGAAGCACAAATTTAGGGAAAGAGGTATTCTTGCTTATCCCTGCCCTCTCCCTCTATACTGCCCTGGAAGTCTGGGATGTGCAAGACACAGGTTCCAAGCCGTAGAGTTATTGGACTAGCTGTTACAGATGTGACTATCAGTAAGACCTGGACTCCGAGCACCTGTGCCTTTCCACATTACAGGGAAGGTAACGAAGAGAGATGATGGCTGTACATGTTTAAAGGGTAGTCAACAATAAACATGAGTCATAGACAGAAATTGTGTGGGGGAATTCAGACGAGAAAGAGGTACTTCGAGTTTGGGGGGGGGATGAATGGGGGAAGGCTTTGTGGAGATTGTGACAATGTAAATAAGCTGTAGAGAATATTCAAGAACTGGACGAGTGGACACCTGAGAGAGATGGGCATCCAGAGACAGTTGCGTGAGCTGAGGACCGGAAGCTGGGGCAACTTTAAATACGTCGACTTTAAACATATTTAGTTGAGCTGACTGAAGAAAGCAGGGCTGCTGAAAGACTGCAGCCAGGCCACAGACAGCCTTGAATTTGGGGAAGCGGAGTTTGAGCCAGTGGCCACCTTGCTTAGCTGTTGTAAAGCACCCTCATGACTGAAAAACAGACCCAGGAAGAGACCCACCTCTATCTGTTTGTCCCAGGTCGGAAGAAGCCACAGCAACGGCAGGCCCTGAACATGACCCTGCTCCTTATAGGGTCATCCAGGGACCTGGACACTCCATGAGGTGGTGGGGAAGACTGGGGGCAAGCCTTGGTGGAAATGGAGTCCTTCGCCATGGTGTTTATTCCTGAAAGTTCCCTGTGATGTCCTTCAAATGTGTGAGCTATGCTTTCTCCTCACCAGAACTGGAGGCAAGTTTAGGTGGTCTGTGCTTAGCCGTCCATTTGACATTACTTGAATGTTAGGACCGTGACTTTCCACAGGAGCAAGACAACATCAGCTGTCCTGGCAAAACTTTGGTCCTACCTGGCACCTAATAGGGACTCCTGTCTTCTGACAGATTGACTGAGTTGTCCAAAGTGACCCCACCCACTGGTCATTTATATCACAGCATCTGCAGGTAGAAAAATAGAACCACTTGTTTTTGTTTCTGTTTTGCTTTTTCTGTGACTAAGAAAAGATTCCTATGACCATTAATATTGAGGGTTTGGTTTTGACGCTGCTAACCCCCACCCCTGCAGAAAAGCAAATAAATCCTAGAGTTAAAATTGAAACTAAAAAACTCATTGAAACAAATCTTATAGGAGAGAGAAAGATCTTCGGCCCCTGTGCTAAACTATAGTATCTTATGCTGTAAAGACTTTTCGGAGTGTGTCCAATATTTTTGAATGCTATAAACATGAAACAATTTTAATAAATACCTGAAGTCATTTGATTTACTCATCCAAAGAAGAAAGAAAGAAAAAGTAGGACATTTCAGATGAAGTCATGCTTTTTTTATTGGTTCTGTGACCATGAAATGCATTTTCCATATTTAGGATGTGCCTGGGATCTGGGGAACGTCATAATTGTTAGATGTGGCTTCAGCTTGTAATTTTCAAAGGGGAACTTTAATAAGGCATAAATTCAAGTGCTCCCACAGAATTAAATATAGCTCTCCCCGCCCCCCTTGGATAGTTAGTGGTGTGAGCCCCAGGAGCAAGAGGGCCCATAGACCTCACAGCTATCCAGTCAGACAGTTAAAAGATGGTGGAAAGCTTCCAAAGGAGGCCAGCCAGACCGTGTCCCCGCCAGGATTTTAGGATTAGAAGGTGCTAGAGCAATAAAAAGAGGCAAGGAAAGCATATCGTTCATGGTCCGAGCAGCACTTTGGGCCATGGGCAACTCACGTCTGGACACAGTGCAGGACCCTGCTGCAAAGTGAAGCTCTCCAGGCTTGATAGCTGCCCTGCAGCCTGTCACCCACTTCTAGCTTTCACTTCCAGCATCAGTGCCCTGCGCTGGGACACCTATTTGTGCTCTCCCCCCACAGGTGACAAGAAGTAGAAATGAAAATCCATCTCCCCCTCCCATGATAATGCTTCCGCTGTTTCTCACATCACTACAGATCTGGCGTGGGCGCCAGGGGTGTGCACTCCCTCTCCTCCCCTCAATCGAAGTAGCAAAGTCGGTTGTGGATCCAGATAGAACCGCCTCTGTGGAGGAGGTTCCGGCCATTCAGAACTATCCTCAAGCCATATCACTTTAAGATTACCCAATACAGTTCTCTACACCGACAGCCCGTCTCTGACCCTGCTGGGGTTAGGAGAGGCCCTTGCCCCTCAGGAACAGGCAGAGACGGGTGTAACCCCGAGGCCTCTTAGCGGCTGAGCGAGTGTGCTCAGCACGCTGGAGGGGTGACTCTTTCCTGTTTTAAAATCACGCGTGGGGTTCCCCAGATGAAGTGAACTGGCACGGCTTGTGAAATGGGTTTTCCTCGTTGGTGTGTGTGCTCATTTTGGAGCAGCTTGTCTACTTCCAGCCTCCATGTGGCTCTCTAGCCATGGTTTCCCGGCTCCTGGGTGGCTCAAACCGTTTGTAGTCAGCTGCTAGTCTAAAGGTTGGCAGTGCACATTCACCAGAAGCTCCATCAAAGAGAGGTCTTACAATTTCTAGCAACAAAATCCTCTGAAGCAGGTCCACTCTGTAGCACGCGGGGTCAACGTGTCAGAAGGGGCTCAGTAACAACCGGGTCGGTTTTTTGGATCCAGAATTCCAGATGCCCCTTGGTGGTCCACTGGGGAGAAAGGTGGGCCTTTCCATTCCTGCAAAGAGTTACAGTCTTACACACCCAGAGGAGCTGCTCTAGTCTGCCCTGTTAGGGCCACTATGAATCAGAATCGACTCGGTGGCAGTAAGTTCTATTTGGTGGGATAAGCAATCAAGTGCTCAGCTACTGTCCAAAAAGACTCACCAGCCACAGCGGTTCTCAACCTGTGGGTCGTGACCCCTTTGGGAGTCGAACGACCCTTTGCCCAGGGGTCGCTCGACTCATAACAGTAGCAAAGTGACCGTGATGAAGTGGCAACAAAAATAATGTTATGGTTGGGGGATCACCACAACACAAGAAACTGTATGAAAGGGTGACGGCATTAGGAAGTTTGAGAACCACTGCACCAGAGGAACCTTGGAAGAAAGGCCTGGTATTTGCCTTCTGAATTGTCACCGCCTGGAAAACCCCAGCAGTTCTGCTCTGAAGCCCACGGGGTCAGCATGAGCGCGAGTCCACCGGAAGGGTGTGTAATGTGTCTACCATCTAAACCCAGGTCTACTCTACGAGGCGTCATTTCCCAGAACTGTTTTGCATTTGGTTGATTGGTTTTGATGGGGGTGGGGGGTTGTTGTGTGTTTGTTTTTCACCTGTTTAGAAGATGCCATTTTGGAGAAGAATGACAGGAAGGCAGCATCGTGCATTAAAGTCTAATAATAGAGTATTTTGACTTCCACGGTGTTCTGGTTGATGTGGATTATGAATTATAAATCGTTGCCCAAGCTATCAGGCTTTCTGAGCCCACTTACATAGCATTGTCTACCCAGGAACCCAGAGCCCAGCCGTCATGCCTTCTGTCTGCCTGAGGAGCAGAGAGAAGCACATTCACTCGTGGTTGGTGGCTAACATCACAGCACTTTCTAAAGTCCTGGGAAGGAGAATACTATCAGAAGCTTGAGGCTGTGAAGCGCTAGGGTAGACCACGTTCTACGTGCATGGTTCATGAAGAATTTGTTGGCTTTTGTGATAGTCTTCCACATCACCTCTTATGACTTAGAAGCTGGTTGCGAAGATTAAGTTACTGGTTGCTAGCATACATTCATTGTTGCGAGGCTGCAGGTCTACCAGAAATAAAGTCCCTTAACTGAAACAGACTGCCTTGTTAGTGTCTGAGAAAAATAAGACCGAAAGGGTGAATTTAATGTCATGTTGACTGGGCCTGATCCCCTGGGTGCTTGGGCAGACTGATTGAAGGATAAAGCAGTTGGACTGCCCGGACC